CATAATCCCGAGTTCATTTTTCCCTTATGATGGATACTTTGGTGCGCTTCAACATCAACCCCTGGGAATGTCGACCCCACCGATGATTATGTTAATGACCTGTTGAGGTTCCTCATGTTCGGTCTATTTATTAGAATCCCTGTTCCTGAAGTGGTTCTTGGCCCGATCACTCAGGAACTCTCGGAAATGTCCGTTGTTGAACAACCGGGCCACCTCCTCTCTTAATTATCGGCAGTCCTCTGTTCTGTGACCATGAGGGCCGTGATATTTGCACATTAGGTTAGGATCCCTTTGGGCTGGATCGAACTGTAGAGGTCAAGGCTATTTGGTGTCTTTGAGGCGTCCGATGGCAGATACGATAGCTGCGACATCGACGTTGAAGTTGTACTCTGATAATCTTGGCGCTTCTTTAGGCCCGACGGGCCTGTCGAAGCTATTTTTGCCCATGAGTCCCCGGTTGTTTTGACCTCGGTCATTTCTCCTTTCATTTCTCACAGGGTTCCGCCCGGAACCACTGCTTCTTCGGTCTCTATTGTACGGCTGATACCGATCCCTGTTTGATCTTGGTTCACGATCGATGTCTCTCTTGACTCTGTCGATGGTTCTGACGGGATACACGGACCCGGAAGGGGCCCCGAGCTGATCATCTTCGACCTTGATTTTCGATTGATACCGGTTGTTGACATCGGTCCAAGTGACAATTGGATATTCTACCAAGTTTTGTTTCAACTGCTGCGAAGCTAACGAGCTTCGAATGTTGAGTCCTTAGGTAAAAGTCTGAACGGCCTAATCATTAACGACCGGAGGTAGGTCCATCCGTTCCATTTGAAATCGGGACACGAACTCCCTGAGCATCTCATTATCCTTCTGTTTTACTTTGAAAAGGTCTCACTTTCTGGTCTCGACCTTGATAGCCTCGACGTGTGCCTTTACGGATGAATCTACAAGCATAGCAAACGAGTCAATAGAATTAAGAGGTAAGTTGTGATACCATATCATAACTCCTTTTGACAGGATCTCCTCAAACTTTTTCAACAGGACAGACTCGATCTCATCATCTTCCAAGTCGTTCCCTTTGATGGCACACGTATAGGAGGTCACATGCTCATTTGGATCGGTCGTTCCGTTGTACTTAAGAATCTCGGGCATGCAGAACTTCTAAGGGATCGACTTAGGAGCTGCGCTCGGAGGGAAAGGTTTTTGAACGAACTTCTTGGAATCCAGGTCTTTTAATATCGGCGGTTCTCCTGGGATTTGGTCGACCCTTGAGTTGTAGGTTTCCACTTTTTTGTCATTAGCTTCGATTTTCTTCTCCCCTGATTCTACCCATTTCGTTAGTTCCTCCAACATCTTTATGATCTTGGGGTTGGCCCCCGATTCATTTTCATTCGGCTTTTCTACGACCGGTCCGTTTATGCGGGTGACTTCCCGGGATGGATCGAGTTCAATTCTGCCCGGTGCGCGGCTTTGGTTCTGTAACTGGGCTATCACCGCCTATTGAGCCTGCAACATTTCGAAGATCACCCGTAAATTGATCCCGTCCCCTCCAATGTCTTGCGTATTTTGGGCTGCTGATCGGGCTTTACCACGGACGCTATTCTCGGGGTCGGTAGGCAGATGTGCATTGATGTCCATATGCGAGTTGGCGTCAATCGGGTCAGCGACAGGAATTCCGATGGGATCAACGAGTGGTGCCCCGCCACTGGGCACTATGTTATTTTCGCCGTGATGACCGGACTCATCGCCAACATGTAGAGGCGCTGACTGGGAGTTTGACATTTTGAGCTTTACCCTAAAATTAGAGAAACTTCAAAGAACAAGTGTAAAGTAGTGCGTGTTATAGAAATTTGTATCAAACAACCACTATTATCCTCAGTCCCACGGTGGGCGTCAAACTGTTTACTTTCAAAATCGGATAACAATTAAATTTGTAAGTGGTTTTGAAGATACTTGAATTTATTCGACACAAAGCAGTAAATAAAGACAAATTAAATAAATAAGGATAAAGTAAGCTCAAACCACACGAAGATGACGATTTAAGCCTTAGTGAAATATTGGCCCTCGATCTGGGCTCGTAACAACAAGCATTGATGAACGAAAGCAGAAGAATTAATAACAGAAAAAGTAATGGTGTATTGCCTTGGAATGCGTGCTACAACATGTTTTATGAATTATCAGACCCATTTTATATAGTAGAGGAGTTCTACTTTAGGTACAATTCTATAAAAGGTAAAAAATCTTTTGATTTACTAATCACCAGTTCTTTATCAGTATGTGCTGAGATTTTCGATGTAATATTCGGCCGGTCACGTATATTTCGCTATGCTGATAATGTTTCTTCAAAGTCGTTTGAGGCTAGGACCGGTTTCGGAATCATGACCTCGATATTCTCAAAGGCAGGCGTCCTATCTCCGAGTTCTAGCCCGGTGGGACTTGGGGTCGATCTTTAGTCCTTTATTGTCATGTCTCAAGCCTGACTTACCATGTCGGAGGCTAGGATGCACCACGAGCTCGATTTCGGCCGTATACAAAAAGTTTTGTTTCTATTTATTGCTTTCCTCGGTGAATACTTCTAGATTCGATTTAGCTTTTCAATATGTTTTGGGTATAAAATTCTTAATTTCCTCTCCTTGTATAATCTTGTAAGGTAAAGTATAATTACTCACGTAAGTGGTGTAATCAAATATTAGTTAAGGTATCAAGTACCTTTTTAATTTCATGAGTGATCACTGATCAATTTTACCAACAAGATTAATGAGGTTATAAAATTATTAATTTGTTATATCATTGAAGTCACTAAACTTTAGCTATTGTATATGTGAAGTTACAAAACTTATCTTTTGTATCATTAAAGTCACTGAACTTTATATGTTATACAGAGGCGAAGCCAGAATTTGAAGTTACTGGATTCGTTATTCTAGCCTTTTTATGTTACTGGATTCTAAAAAATTTGTACTTAGTCAATAGATTTCTTAAGACAAATATTGGGTTTGCACTAAAACTACTGGGTTTGGCCGAACCATTATCGAAACTCTAGCTCCGCTCCTGATATTATATCAGTAAAGTCATAAAACCATTCTCTATATCATTAAAATTACTAAACTATACTCGCGTAAGAGGATTTAAATTGAGTAACGTGGCAGGTGAGAATTTCATATAGCACCCGCATGTTTGGGTTGAGTCGTGTTGTTGTTAATATTGTATTAAAATTACTGATTTGTGTTTAATTTTTTGGAAAATACAATTCACCAAAAAAATCAAATTCCCGAAACCAGAAAATGATATGTCATTGCATTTCAGTTAATTAAATTAGTTAATGTTATTTTCTATGTGGAGATTAAAATCTCCTTAAATCCCAACCAAACATTATAAAAGCGCATGCTGATTTTAGAGCTCGTTTGGCCAAGCTGTCAAAAACTACTTATTTTGAGAAGTACTTCTGTTCGAAAGTGCTTTTCAAAAAAGTACTTTTGGAAACTAGCAGTTTGTGTTTGACCAATTTATTTGAATAGTACTTTTTGTAAACAAATTATGTTTGGCCAATCTTTCCAAAAAGTATTTTTGAGTATCAAATAACAAAAAAAGACAGTAAAGATTCGGCTTGTAATTAGTATTATTTAAAAAGAGATAATAAATTTAATATTTATTATAAAGAAATTCAACTAAAATATAAAATATAAAGTAACAATATAAAATTTAAAAAATAATTAATATAAAATATAATTATTCCAAAGCAATAATATTAGGTACCTGGTATTACTTATTATTTACATGATAATTTAAATATATCAAAATAAATCATTCAATATAAATTAAAAATATACTCTTTTAAATCACTATATAAAAGAAGAGATCTATTTATAATAGAGAGCATATTCCAAAGAGGAATAGGAGAAAGAGAAAAAATGATGGAAATAAAAAAGAGAAGAAAGGTATGGCAAAAAAAAGGAAAATAAAAAAATTTAAATTAATAAGGTATAATTTAAAAAATATAACTTTATTGCAAGGATATTTTTGTCTTGAACAAATTAATTTTCTGCTTCTACTTCTCGTACAGATAAAAGCTGCTTCTGCTACTGCTGAAAAATACTTTTTCATCTTGGCCAAACATCTCAAAATTTTCAAGAAGTACTTTTTTTTGAGCAAAAAAGTACTTTTGACCTCCAAAAAACTTGGCCAAATAGGCTCCTAGCTAGTGTGGAGATTATTATCGGAAATTTTACCTCCTATAGCAAAGGTATACACCATATTTATTATAAACTAAAATTATTTTAAAATATTATTTTCTATAGCTACCTTTTATATTTTATAACAAAATAAGTATTTTATGGTATATACTACCATTGAGGCATGAAATACGATATTTATATTTCCTCTCTCTCTTAGACAGCTGGACATACCTATTTTTAATGGATTGTCGTTACTGTATTCATGAATACATGGCGCGAATACATGTGAATATATGCGCGTACAACTGTATTCATGAATACAGCAGCGCGAATACATATAAATACATGCGCGTACAACGAGACTATCCTGATTTTAAGCGCTTTTTGCTGCTGTATTCATGAATACATGCGCATACAGCTGGACTGCCCTGATTTTAGGCGTTTTTTACTGATGTATTCATGAATACAACATCGCAAATACATGTGAATACATGCGCGTACAGCTGGACTGCCCTGATTTTAGACCTTTTTACTGTTGTATTCATGAATATATGGCGCGAATACATATGAATACATACACGTAAAGCTGAACTGCCCTGATTTAGGCGCTTTTTGGTGCTGTATTCATGAATACAGCAGCGCGAATACATGTGAATACAGTATCATAACAACTGAATAGTAACTATAGAAAATAATTATGTATATGATAACTATAAGAAGTTAATAATCACTGAACAATAGTGATTTACGAAAATTCCTCCTTATTATATCTTTTGTAACCAAACCAAAGGGCCTCTTATTGTGTTACCCGATTAAATGCTTACCCAAACCTCAACCCGAACCCGATTCCCAGGAAATTTGACGGCACATTCTTATTTCGATTTTCCCTCTTCCCTTCAGAAATAAAAGGGAAAATTTTTTAGCTGCCAAAAACAACCTTTTCTGCACCTTACAATTTTCAGTTCCTGCTAGTTTGTGTTTGTGTAAATACGTACATCCACAGAATTAGGGTTAGGGTTAGGGTTCCGAGCTTTGATTTGGGTTTGGTGATCAACGCTGGAAGCGTGATCATGTACGCTGATCGGGAAGAGGCACTAAGTCGGACGTCTATAAAAGAAAGGCTGAAGCGCAATGCTGCTGATGATTCTGCTCGCCGGAGACTAATTTCCGGCAAGAGGTCCTCCCTCTCTCTCACACGCACACACAATGAATGCGGAGCATCTGCACATATTATACTTTGTGGATGTCGGTGCAAACATATATATATATTGTTCTACACCTTGTGTTCCATTTTATGTAACTGTGTTTGAAAGAAAGATAGACTTTTGAATTGTGGTCTGAAACAGACGGTAGTGCCTAAAAATAAGGTAAAATGAGAATTATAAAGTTAAATAGTTTCAAGATATAGAAAAGTGCCCTTCTTTACTTAAAAAGAAAGTGTGCCACATAAAATGGAAAAGATTCGAGTCGAGGGCACCAGTACCACTGCACCAACTATTACTTTGTTGCAGTAGGTATAGACTTGGTATAGATACTTAGTATATTTTTAAGAAAAAATCTTCTATTATATATGTGGTTTAAGTGGCGGCTGAAGGTGCATCCCTGCAATTTGGTTAGATATATTGTTTGTTAGCTTCAATCAGCTTTTTGCTTCGGTCCTAAAAATTGCTTATCATGTGCTCGAAATGAGAGGCAGAGCCAGAATTTGAAGCTTATGGGTTCAGAATTCTTGCACTTTTAAGTCACTAGGGTCATTTATAATTTATACAAATTAAATGGATTTCTTAAAACCAATACAGAGTTTCGACCAAAGTTACTGGGTTCCGCCGAACCCATACCTTGGTCTCTAGGTCCGCCCCTGCTCGAAGTGCTACCTGGTTAGTGAAGGAAAGGGTAGAGTGGGTGTATACCGTAAGCAACCTCCTCCCTTTGCATTTCTGCGAAGACGTTATTCCACGCTTTGAAACCATATGACCTACAGGTCAACATTTCATTAAGGAGTAACTGTACCATTGTACAATAGCTGCTTACTGAAAGATTGTTCTCTTCTTCTTTTGCAGTATACAGAAGATGCGTGTAGCTAGCATTCAAACTTACACTAGCTCACTGGTTATCACGATTCTAATTTGGACTTTCTGACCTTTAGCAAGTAATGGATGGAATTAATTTAATAAGATTTGTGTATCTAGCTCAATTTTAGCTGGTCATCTTGTTTATTTCCCTTAAAAGAGTGCCAGCTCTGGACAGATAAAGGCATGGAAGATTCTTGTAATGGTTGAATTTGTTTTTATGGTACGCTTCATTGTTGCTTGTTTGGTTTTCACCTTATTGCTTGCTTATTGTGTCCTAGAATTGGAAACTAATTTTTTATTGGGGGGGATTGGGTACATGTAGATGGATTTGATGCTTGGTCAATAGCATTAAAGATTTTATGAAATGTAATGATAAGGGGAGCGACATGAATACTATAAATCAAGCTGTCAAAAATGGCATATTGTTGTTATCTGACCATTATTTGTAATGAGTATGTTTATAAGATGAATCATATTTATCTTCACAGGTCAAAGCCTTTCCCTAAAAAGAAAGAAGAATCTTATCAATCTTTTTGTTAATAGCTGTAGTTTGTTTTTTCAGGCATAGAGAAGACTATGACAAATGGGTGCATGACCTTTATGAGCCTGGTGAACTTCAAGGATCAAGTATGGGGTGTTTGAGAACCACATTATTCATATAGCATTTTTTCATAAATGAATGGGCAGTATACTTCTTGAGTTCTGCAATAAAAGGTTGATTTGTTTTTTGTTGTGCGTTTGTATAGATCAGAGAATTGGTACAAAGGATCTTCGTCTCAAACTTCAACGTAGAAGAAGTATTCAACAAGCTACTCAAATAATAAAGAGCTCTTTATCTGGAGGCACGAGGGATCTGCGGGAAAAGCTCTCTGGTACTGTATACTCGCAAACAATGCAAATTGGTGCCCCCCCCAAAAAGCTAAAGACAATTCCTGAAGTCAGCAAACCTTCCAAGAGAAGTGTCGTAGCTGAAGCTCCTGCCTCGGAGACGAAAAACATTGCCAGCAAAGTTTCTAAGAAGAAGTCCCAGCAGAAGGCAAGAATATCTCACTTACTCAGATTACTTTTACAAATGAGATCTTGCTGCTAGAAATTGTGCAGCCCTTTATAAAATTCACAATCAGGGGAAAAAGCACGAGTCTGAGAATGTATTTACAAATTTTTTGTTATTGCTTCATGGAACGTTAGTATCGTCACTAAGACAAAATATGCCTTTAAGAAAACCACCAGCGGAGAAGGGTAAGGGGAGGTCTTAGACAAAGATAGCTTGTTTACATGACACCGTATTCCTTAGTCTTCTGCTCTTTAAGCATTAAATATTTAATTTGCTGCTGTTGGTTGTTGGATCGTGTTTCTACGAAGCTATTGCGTGAAAGTTCGGAAAGTATTATGCTTATTGCAGTCTGCAGGTCCAGTATTAGAATGCTGTGACATGTAATCAGATGACCAGTATAATTAAAAGCTGCTAAGTTTGCGTATATCTAGTAGTCCTCAAATTTATTTGTATTGTTCATACAAAGATAGCTGTTTTAATTGTTCATTTCCATAGTTGAATCCACCGGAAGATTTGAAGACTTCATTTCTGAGACCCAATATGCAATAGCTTCTTGCTTGAGCAACAAATTGCTTTATCGTTTATTCCCAGTTAGATACAGGTGCTTTCTGGGCATACTTATTTTATTCTGTTCTGTATGTGTATGCTGTGGGTAAATGGTATATGCTTCATGGACTCTTTAATATAGCTGAGTGACTGGGTATTGACTCAACATTACACTGTGAAGACTTCATTTTCTAGGACCCTATTTGCAATACATTCTTGCCTGGGCCCAAACCACATGTATAGAAATTACTTTATTGTTTGTGCCTAGTTTAGTACAGGTGCTTTCTGGGCATGCTTATTTTATTTTTTTGTGTATGTGTTGTAGGTAGGAATTGTTTATACTACCTGAACTCTTCAATGTGGACGGAGTAACTCGGTCAATTGTAGGTACAACTTATTAAATCATACCATTGATTTTGGTATCTACTAAAGTTCATGACCCATCTTAAACCTGTCATTGCACCAGTACCGGTAATTCTACGTACTTTCCAAGGACGCAAACAGCTAATTCGTCTCCTCCCATTTGTGCCAACTTTTCACTTCTTGTAAGTGAGTTGTTCCGATCCACTAGTTAAATAAATGGAAGCCATAAGAGTAATTGAAAATATAAATAAATCTAATTGGTCAACATTTAGCAAGGTAAGATCATTTAAATGGAGTGTCTTTACCCCTCGGAAGATGATTATCCACCTATTTAAGCACTTTCTAGTACTAATGAAAGTACCTGTAATTCTACGTACTTTCCAAGGACGCAAACAGCTAATTCGTCTCCTCCCCATTTGTGCCAACTTTTCACTTCCTGTAAGTGAGTTGTTCCGATCCACTAGTTAAATAAATGGAAGCCATAAGAGTAATTGAAAATATAAATAAATCTAATTGGTCAACATTTAGCAAGGTAAGATCATTTAAATGGAGTGTCTTTACCCCCAGGAAGATGATTATCCACCTATTTAAGCACTTTCTAGTACTAATGTGTTGTCCCCAAGGAGGGGCACATCCCTCTTCGAGATCTAAGTTAGAGATAGGCGGTGAATGAGAAGTGCACAAGCTTTTTGTGTTATTTATTTATTTAATTTTATTATTGAGTAGAGAGGATAGTCTTGTGGAAAACCTTCCACTTCCAAGGCTCCAACCATGAGATTGGGGGTTCGAGTCACCACGAAAAGCAAAGTGGGAAAGGGCCATTGTTTGCTCCTTGCTTTTTTTTTTTTTGGGGNGGGGGGGGGGGGGGGGAGGGGGTAAGGTTTACCATATTAAAAAGGGTAGGCAACCTTTTTCACTTTTACTACACTACTAACGCTGAGAAGCTAGAATTAGCATAACATTATAAGGGGTCGTTTGGTAGGATGTATTTGGGAAAATAATATATATATTAGCTTTGGTATTATTAATCCCTTATTTGGTAGTGTTTCTCAACCTATGTGTAACTAATACCTGTATTAGTTATACACCCTATTCAATACTCTTCTTAAACATAGCAAACCATGGCATTAATAATATCATGGTTTTTAATACATGGATAAGCATGTATAAAGACAAAACTGCTCNTATATATTATGCTTTTAATACACCAAACCCAAACAGTCCCAGCATTACTAATATACCCTATAATAAACGGCCCCTAAGAGTAATAGGTGTATGGAGCTCAAGGAGGCTTTAGTGAAGGATGAAAAAAAGGTCATGCTTATGTATGAGGGGAAGTTTCCAGTGACTAGATAAGGTTGATGGCAGGCTGGATGCTAGATTTTTGCTTCTCTAGGATTCAGCCACTATGCACATTTTTATTTACTGGTTTCTGTGGTTGGTATTGATGAAGAGTGTACGTCCGAAACTTGAGGTATTGGATTGATTTCAGGCAAAGAGGTGCTGAATCAATCAGCTTATGCATTCCATTGTTATCAAACAGGTTACAGACCCTCAAGTCAGACAGAAGACATCAAATGCTCCACTTTTGCCAACAAAAAAAGGAACACTATGTGAAATTGAGCTGAAAATATGTGTAGTATTGGGGATTTTCATTAGCGAGGTCTAATCCACTTATTTTCACTACCTTCCTCTGGGACTTCTGTGAGAATTCATTTTCTGGAAAAGAAAAGAGAGCTTAACAAGGATATAGTTTTTACGGGGAAAAGACACTAATAGATTATATGCTAAGGTCAATCTGGACTGATCTATTACCTTATGGAACTTATATATTTGGAATATAAGAGAAGCAAAAGACCATATATTTCACTTGTGTGGAAAGATTATCCTTGATCAGATCTGAATTTCAAGGTCTAGGCAAGTCTTAGGCCTCATTTGTTTTTTTTTAAGATTAAGACGTCTGAATCTGAATACACGTCTGAATATCAAGATGTGTATTAAGATTAAGACATTTGAATTTGAATACAAATATGAATGTTAAGATGTGTATTAAGATGTGAATACTAAATGATTAAGATTGTTTGATTTTTTAACATCTGAATGTATAAAATTTACGTTTATTTGAAAATTAATAAACATAAAATTCAAATAAAATACTAATTAATCTAATATTCCATCACTAAAATATATAGCTTTTTAAAATATGATAGTTGCTGGCGGTGATGGCTAACGTTAGTGCTTGTGAATGCCGACTAAAAGCGGTGGTTGGTGGTAGATTTAGTTGATGGTGGTAGTTTTGGGGTAGTAGCTAGTGGTGATTGGTAGTGGTAGCTATTATGATTGAGGATGGTGGTGGTGGGTGGTGATAGTTAATAATGGCGGGTGGTGGTGGTGGTAGTTGTGATTGAGGAAGATGGTGGTGGGTGGTGGTAGTTTATAATGGTGGGCAATGCCAGCTATGGTTGTTGATGGTGATGGGTTGGTTAGTTGTGGTAGTTGAGGTGGATGGGTATTGGTTGTCGTTGAGAATGATAGTGGTGGGAGTGGTGGGGATGGTGGGTGGTGATAGTCGACAATGGTGTCTGCTATGATTGAGGATGATGGTGGTGATGGGTGGCATGGTGCTAGTTGATAATGGTAGGCGATGACGACAGCTAATAATGAATATGAATGATAGCATCTTAATGAAATTACGTGTCTGTTATAGATCTTAATGATACAGATCTATTCAGACCCATTAAGTGGTTGTGAAGTAAAAAAAACAAACACACGTAACGATTAAGATCTGAACAATTAAGATTCAAATTTTAAAAACAAACGCACTTAATGTCTGAGATCTGAATGATTAAGATTCAGACCTCTATTAAGTGCAAACAAATGAGGCCTTACTTTCACTTTTCGCAAAGAAAAGGTCTAGGCAAAAAAAGAAAAGAGGAAAGGTCTAGGCAAGTTTTACACCGGCCACTCTTGCACCTAGAAACTTCATCTGAGTCCATGTTGACTCATACTGGAAGACAAACCTGCAATAGTGTCTTGTATGGATGTTAGTGTTCAACTTTACTGTGGTTTGTCCCTCAATTCTTGCTGTGATTTCTAAGACATTATATAGAGATCTGTGTTTAATCTAGTCTTATGTCCATTTCATTGTTCACCTTAAGGAGAGGGATGCAGCCTATGTTTCCTTTCCAGTATTTTCATTCAACTATGTTGTGCTGCACATTTGCACATGTTTTGTGGCCGTTTAGCGTGAGCTTCCTCAATCAGATGATGTGCAATTACAATCGTCTGCATCATGTTTAATAGTTTTTGTATAAATAGTAATACTGTGGCTCTTGCTATTCTTACTGCTTATCTTGTTTTGTTTGGTTCTTTCCCTCTATGTTATCAGCAATGTCATAGAGTCAAAATTTGCTTATGGCCCTCAGAAATTTCTGATATGAGGTTGCTTTGTTACATATATTTTTTTCTGTTGCAGGTTGAATCAGTAGATAGTTTTCTACTATCATTGGGTCTTGAGAAGTATGCAGTTACATTTCAAGCTGAAGAAGTATGTAGTTTTCCGCTCCTATTGTCATTTTCAGTTTACTTATAAGAGCTGCAGAATATCACCTATGACCTTACTATTATTCTTGCAGGTTGATATGGCTGCTCTTTTACACATGACAGATGAAGATCTTAAAGCTATGGGAATACCAATGGTATGTATCTTGTTGTTACGTGCTTCATAAGAATTGATCTGGAGTCTGACCCTTCAGGTTTTTATCTTCTTTTTTTCTGCCCAATAGAAAAGGCATCACAACAAAAAGGATAAGATTTTTTCATTTTTTTTTTCTTTTCTCAAAAAAAAAAAAAACCCAAAAAAAATAAGATGTTGATCTTTGTCGTCAGCAGAAGGAGGAACTGTTATTAGTAGGATGATAGATTTCTCAATAAGTAGCGCAAATGTCTGAATTAGTAGGATGATAGATTTCAGAGAAGACTTTTTAATATGGTGGTCATGAAAATCACATTGATTCGGGGAGATTACTGTTTCAAGGCTTGGGCTAGATAATAATTCTACGGCAGGTAATCAAAGCTTGGATTTGCTATATCTGAGTCACACCGAACAATGTGGATTAGAGTGATAATTAGTCCTGTATTAAGTGCCAATTATAGTGAATGCCCATTGTTGTTTTCAGGGTCCAAGGAAGAAGATACTTTTAGCATTGGAATCTAAAGTTTGAGAATTTAGGTTACATCTTCCTCTGCTAGCTAGCTTTGTACAAGTCTCTTAGATTTTTTTCCATTTCCTTTTTGGGGTTTTATCACTCAATGTGGTTAACTCTGCTCACTAACTGTAACTAATCTGAATATCGATTCATGAGCTCGACCTTAATGGTATTTAATTAATTTGCCTAGCATGTAATTCGGGTGTCAAAGATGCCAAATTTTGTTTCTTTAAACCTCCCCC